TATGTTAGCCCCAGAAATATTTTTGTGTGATGTAGCTGACTTGACATTAAGTATGGGGCAAATTATTTCAGTCTTAATGTACAGTATGGAGAAATTGGAACATGACATTACCTAGCATGCTGATGTCCCCATGTAGATGTACCCACATAGGTAAGAATTGAATTTAGTTCAAACATGTTTCTCTTTCACCTGACATTTTATTTTTCTTATTTTCTGTTTTTTTCACTGTGTTTCTAACCAATCTCAGTTTCCTCAGTGGAGGGTAATGGTTCAATTTTTCATATGTGATTGCAATTTGAGACTTCACCCTTCCTTAATATTAAAGGTAAACCAAAAAATTAGAAAAGTACACAAATTTAGGTTTAATACCTTTTCTAATCTAATCTTAATCTTAATATTCATCCTTTACAGTTTATATGAGTCATAAAACTATGTGCTGATATAAGATAATTTTAAGAAGAAACACTGCTGAATGGTTGAGTCAGCAGGTTTTGTCCTAACAATTAATTTTCTAGCTTTTATGCTTGCATCCACATTAAAACAGGGAACACATTATTCTGCCAAAGAATCCCCATCCCCACCAACTGAATAAAATAAAAATCAATAATGAGCTAGGTAGAACTGTGAGACATGCACAGGCACACACATTCCTTTCAGAACCCTTACAGTATCTCTTTTACTTCTATGCATACATCAATTTTTGAATACATGACAGGATAATGAAAACAAGACTCATGGTTTGCAGTAGGATTCTAAGGCATATTAAAGAAATTGAAGAAATTGGAGATAACGCTTAAGTGTATAGTGTCTTTACCCTATGGATTCTGTTCTTTCGTTCCTGAACAAGTCTAAAAACAACTCTGTATTGATAGACACATAACAGATTCAAGAAAAACATAGAAGCAATCTATCTCAGTACTTTAAATATAACCATTCAAACATTTGCAAATTATACCATTCTATAAGTCAAAGAGTAGATTTTTTTTTTTCCCTCAGAACATGCATGTTTTATGAATGTAGAAGGCTGACATCTCTATATGTAAGAAAAACATTCCTTATGAAAGTTTGGCTTTAAATACATCTTTCTTCTATTTGACATCTGGGCAGAAGGCTGAGGAAGAAGAGTGAGGTTTTCTTTTCATTTTCTGTAAAGTATGTTGCGTTCCTCTGGCAACTTGCTGATTTCAGTCTTATGGTAAATTTCTTAAATGTCACTTGTATTTATGAATAATTAAATTATATATATATATATATATATGTATATGTATATATGTGTGACTTTTCAGCATTTAGTTTTAAGGTGGAGTGTATGTGTTAGAATACATAAATATAGAGAGACAAAATTAAGAGAAAATTTTGTTGCTACAATACGATATTTTAAAAAGACTTACACAGACACCTAGGGATAATTGAAATGGGAGAATTTTTGTACCACAGAAAATAATTTAAGGACAGAATTCTCCCAGTGTTTCCAGCAGCAGAAATGTGCTCTTTCTCAGCTTTAAATTCAATAAGAACAAATTTGGTTAAACCATTAAAATCCATAGAGGTTTGGTATTCTTCATGTTGCTAGGAATCCCAGAATGCACACATATTCTTAAAACAATATATTTTTGAGACATATCCCATTGGTTTCCTGTGAGAAATATGTTAAGAAGCCTAAAACAGAGAAAAAACCCTAAACTGTGGCTTCCAGCCACAGAGACAAAGAGCCTTGCATAAGGCAGAATGTAATTAGGAATTTGCACTACAATGATGTTTAATGCCTTCCCAATCTGCAGGCTAATCGGGAGGGTGCAGATGATTTATTCTGCAGCCTGATGTAGCCTATAATTGCCACCTTTGGGCAACCTTGTCCAGTCTGCCATGGCTCCTTTTCTTACTGGTCTTTCAGGACATGGTTGTTGAGTCAGGGAATAGTCCTGAATTTTGAAATTGTGACTGTGACCTTGACTCTTTGTTTGAGGGTAAATGTTCCTTTTAGTCAAGACTGAAATGATGTACTGCATTCTAGCTTTTAATATTTATAAAACCCTTAGACAAAAGGTGCTGCATATTGCAAATTACAGTCATAAGACTTTTCCCTGAAGCCTTTTTTTTCCCACTTAACCTGATAAAGAGGATTTTAGTTGATTTAGCATTTGGTCTGTATATTATTATTAATACACACCAAGAAAAATATCCTAGCTTATTTTGCCTATTTTCATGAGGATTTAAACTGCTCTAAGCCGCATTAAAGAAGGCAAAATAAGAATAATTCATTTTCCTCATAGTTGTGGTGAGGTCCTGAAGCATGTTAGCTTGATACATTAAAATTCCTTGCTTACACATTAAATCAGAATATAGAGTTTTTAGCAAAGAAAAAAAAAAAAAAGACTGGATAGAAAATGCATTAGATATGACTCATGATCATGAGTGTTTGGTTCAGAAATCTGAACTTGGGTTTGCCTAAATGTCAGAGGATGTTGCTTGCATATAGGATTCAACTTTTGATGTTTTCTTCTTGCTGTTTTCACTGTATTCCTTTGGGTTACCTTTGCCCTACAAAAGGCTCTTGGTTACTACATGCTGTAGTATACGTGAACAGCAAATTAAAAGCAGAAGAACACATCTACAGCACAACAGTCTATTTTAGTACCCAGTGAAACTGGGCTAAAGGTTACAGCTGGTTAGCAAATATTTTGGCAGCGCATATAAAGGAGCAAAAGGAAATCCAGAGTGCTGAGCTTTGCATTATCAAAGGCTTTTCAATCTGTATTCATTCTTAAACACCATAAATTGCTTGGCTTGAACATAAAATAACATTCATCATATTTTTTAATATGAAGGCTTGAAACAAGGAGCTGCTGACACAGATCTTTTGAATGCAACTCCACTGTTACGTATCTTAAATGAATAAAATTTACTTTTGAGCCATTTCATATCAAATGAATACCTAGGCTGAAAATATAAAATAGGATGAACCAATTTATTCCTGTTACTCATCCTACATGTGCTTGAGCAGAAACAGAATAATACTCTTTCAGGGATTGACTTTACTGACTGGTTGTCTTGAATTGCCATACTTGAAAAATACTGACAGGGTTTAATTCAAAGGAACATAAATAAAAAAAGCTGAGAGATGGGCAGACATGGTTTGGAGTGCAGAAAATGGCAGTTTTAGCAGAGGTACCACATGAATTCCCCTCTCCAGATGAGTATCACCAGCATCCAAGTTGAAAACTCTCCCCTAATCTGCCAGCCTAAGCACAACCTTGTGTACAACTCAGTCTGAAGTGCAAAGCTTTGCCAGTATGGATGAGTATTCAGACAGGCCTTGAGCTGGCCTTGCACTCTGGGTTGACACTCCTGCCTAGGCAGGACTTTAGTCCCGAGTGTGTCCCACAGAATGGGAAGGTCATCCTGCCTGTCCTGCAAAGCCAGGCTTGAGACACCTCTAAGATTGTCAGCCCATCTCATGCTTAATTTATGGGGCAGAGCATTTCACTGCCAGTGAATTACATAGGAATTTACAATAGCTCATGGAACAGGTATTCATTATTAGTTTGATATTACTGGACACTGTGTTTTAGTCAAGTTTTCCTTAAAGAGCACTATGTAGAGATGACTCACAGAAGGCTGGGCAGATAGTAGAACTTTGTTTCAGGGTAACAAAAACACCTGGGATTTTCAGGGTAAAGTTAGTGCTGTTTCCTGTTTCTCAGAATTCCAGTGGACTTTGAGCAGTGCAGTGTGTAACTTGGCAAGCTGTGCTTCCAGAAAATCTAATACATATTTGCTCTGGTTCTTCATCTCATTCCCCTTGTGCTGGGAAGAGAGGTGGGAGAGGTTATACCTGAAAAGCACATGGTGTTGTTTTGAAAACATTTTTGAAAGATGGATCAATATTCTGAACTTCCCCACCAGTTTAGTCTCTCTCTAACTGAATTGATCCAGGGACTGACAGCAGCAGTCCTTAATGCAAGAGAACCAGCATTTGAGGTTTTGCTCAAAATAAAAGTATTTTACATAAGAAGTTATAAGCTATTTTAAATGTAAGTCCTTTCACCTTCCAACAGATTTTCTCATAATTACAATCATATATTTTCAGCCACTCCATAAGAAAACAGTAGAATGGATTGCAGTTGTGAGAACCCCGGGATTGATTCAGGGGTTCCATGTGGTGGTAAAGTCTCTCCTCCAACCCATGCTTCCAAAGAAAGACTCCGCAGCCTCTTGTGGTTCGGTCTCAAGGCAGTTTATTGCAAGTTATCTAAAAGATTGTCTTCGCCCGCTGCGGCTGCCTTGGTCAGCTGCCCAGGCAGAGACACACACTCTCCTGACACCCTCACTGTCCGGTGTCTCCGTCGTCTCTCTCCCCGCTCAGGGCTGCTGCTATCTTTTATATGATATATTATGTATTATATGTTTACAGATTTTCCCCAATACCTACTGTTTATGTTACAATGTGCTCTTCTACTCTAAACCAATCTGTGAGTGCCAGCATCACCAAGAACATGGAGGTAAGGAAGAAGAAGGAGGAAGAACAGGATCAGGCCCACTTTCCTCCATCTTAGAACTCCTGACCCCCATGTACAAAGTAAAACCCCCTGTACAGGTGTTAAAACCCCCTTGTACAATATTAAAAAATTTTCCCCTCTAATTTGTGACTACTTTTACTATACCATCTAACTCTCTGTGACCGCTTGTTCCACCTTCAAAGTTGGTAACTCATTCTATGGTTCAAACTCAAGATCACAGCTGTTTTCAGCTGCTTGCCAGGGTCTAAAATGCTTCTGACCAAGGCCTGGAACCTCTGAAAATGTCTGAGGGACATTTTGAGTTCTGACATGCAGTGAGACTCTGAATAAATAGGATCTATAGGTCAAATGACACAAGAGAAGTATTCTACAACATGAATTCAGCAGGTATTTTCTTCCACATGTGTCTTTGAAAGCTACTTCCTTAAAGAGGCTCAGCACAGAGTCTGTAGCTAGATTTATAATCACCATGTTTTTTTACCTTGTTTCCAACTTAAGAAAGCATGAGCAGTGAAAAATACTTCTCAACAGCACCCCAGTATGGTTTCAAAGCAAGGCATGGCAACAAATGTTTTCCCCTTAAGATCTATCTGCTTGTGGCACCAGCTTATACAATTGTTTTTTCTATCCTTTGTATGGTTTTAAATTAATTTAGCAGGAAATTTGTGGATTTTGACAGGTGAAACTCTCTTCCAAGACTCTCGTCTGAATGAGCTGCAAAGACAATAACTAAAGAAATCCAAACATTGGTATAAAAACATGCTTCCAATCAAAAGTGGTAGAAAAAGCCAGCCTTGTGTCTGTAGCAAAACCAAATATGCTTATCAGAAAAAATGATGCATAAATAGTTCAGCAGAAAATTATCTAAAGCATCAGCTAGGTGATAGGGTTGACCTAGCTAGAGATTTAAGATTTCGAAGACTACAACAAAGTCTTGCTTTTTATCTCACAGTAGTAAAATCAGTACCAAGAAGGTACAAAGAATTAAATTTCAAAATATGTAGTTTTGAGGGTTCAAAACCTTTGTGAGGACAGTGTAAGTTTTAAACTTCCAATAGAGAGGCTAACTTGGAGTTACAGTGGTACAGAGGGATTGCCACACAGAAGTGCTAAGTTCACATGAATCCTTTATGAGTTGAATCAAATGGCACAAAAGATGCCTTGCTGTGCTGAGCATTATAAGTACAGAAAAAAAGTACAGCCTAAGCTCCTTCCTGTCCCTGTGGAGCCCTACTTCCCTGTCCCAGCAGAGAAGTCAATGGTGAAGCCCATAATTCTGAGTGTAGAACCTGTAGTGGTACTACTGGGCTTACAGAGGAGGAAGAACACTCTGATGGGGTTCCTAGGAAAATAGCTAAGAAATTCTAGCCCTTGGAAAGTTTTTCTCATGAAAGCTGACCATGCTTATTCTGTTGTATCAGAACTCAGCCAGAAAATTTTGCTCTTTTAAAGTAAATAAATTCTGTTAAAATCAGCTGCTGCTCTAGTTGATGTGATTGCTAGAAGAAAGGCTTCCTTCTTGTGTATCAGCTTTACTAGAACTCTTCATGTGCTTAACACATGAAGAGTGTGTTAATAAACAGTGACCAAAAGTAACAAAAGATACCATTCTGGATGCCATTGTCTATAAATTGGAAAACTGAGATTACAGGAAAATGCAGGCAAGCTGGCAAAGAAGTGGCAGGGTCTCCCTCTTTTGCTGCCTTCAAAATGAGATCAGGTGTTTCCTGGAAGATACTATTCAGCCAGAGAGGAGTCTTTGGGCTCAGCAGAGGACAATATCCTGTGGCTGATATTGTACAGAAGCTTGAATGAGTTTATTTACTAGTACTTAAACTCAATGTAAAGCTGAAAAAAGGAAAGGGAAAGCAAAGACAACAATGAGGAGAGGAAAGAGAGGAAGAGATTTCCGGTCTTGTAGATCAGAAACGAATCCTTAGTCAAGAACAGTTTTACATGTAACAGCAGAACATGATCTATAGAAAGCTGTGTTAAAAAAGCCTTGTGAGGGAAAGTATAGCGTTTCTCACACCTGAGGCCCTGCAGAGGCTTTCAGGAAGTAAAAAGAAAAAAAAAATAATTAAAAGTTATAATGTGCAGCTATGAAGGATTTTTAGCTTTCATAGTATGTGAGGCAACTTAGTATATTTTTGGATGTGTATAGGTAATTGTGTTGCATTTCTATACTCTTCCCAGTATCACATGCTCTGTAAGTAATTTTTTTTTCCTGCTGCTGGTAGCTTATAAAACATTGATAGTAAAATATGTGAATAGTGCTGTAAATACTGCAACAAGGATTCTAGTGCATGTTGCAGAGAACCAATAAACAGCCAGCAATGTATGGGTAATGTGAAATGACTGGCTGCTCTTCAACAGAGCTCTAGGAAAATTGTGATTTTCAGTTACGATCTGTTCAGTCAAATTAAAGTCTGATGACTGCCTCAAGATGTTCATTTATCACCCAAAATAAATCAAACTGAGAGAACAGGCAACAATATGTGATTGTATTCAAAGGCAACACATCAGTACCTATGGGTAGAATTTCCAGCAGCAGTCAGATAAAAGTCGCTGGAAATAAGAGTACAACAATAGATCACATCAGGACAGGATATTATAGAATCTCAGCTTGGTTCATAAATATAAAATAATGAGCTACTGTTTTCATAGTCTTCCCTGTCAAACTGTATTTAAAAAGTTGAAAAAATGCTATTGTCACCTGTTACAGCCAAAGATTTGGTCAAAGAAATGGGTACACTGGCTTTTATTTGGCTGCTTCTTTTTTTTTTTTTTTATGCATGCAGACCTGAAAACAAGAAAAATAAAGATAATAGAGTACGTAATGCTCATTTTCAGATTTTCTACCTATAGTAGATATGTGCATGGCTCAGTCTTGTGTGCATGCATTGCCTCTGGATTTTCAGCCCATGAGAGTGTGTTAAGCACCGGCCTTGCCCAGGGGAACTGAGCAGGCAAAAATGTCATCATCACATCCTACATAGCACAGCTGAGTGTCCTATCCCCTCTGAATACAGCAAAGATGTCCAGGATGGTGTAGGCTTTCACCAGACAGGAAAATAGCAGTTGGTGGTGGCCTGCAGACATTCATTGCATCCACAGCCACAACAGATTTACTAACACCAGACTGCTGTGCCATGGATCTAAAGGAGTCTGGCAGAAATGGTTTTCAATAAAAAATGCCCATATACTCCTAGACTTGGAAAATGGAAGGAGAAGCAGGTGTGATACCTCTGCAGCACTGAGCAGTTTCTGAGATAGAATCAAAAATTAGCACCAGGAGCGGCTCATGATACATATCTTGAGCTATTAAGACTTGGCAAAACTGAGTTTGATGGTGCATCTGCCATGCTTTCAGTGCATCAGAAAATCAGACATTAATTTGCTGTTGGCACAACTTTAGAAGTGCACAGTGAAGGAGATCCAGAAGCTGAATCCTCCAGAAACCATCTGGGGAGATGGTTTTTGCTGTTCTTAATCTGAAGATACCTGGAGCTTTTTGCCGCCTCTGTTGTCCTTTGGCAATGTCACAAGTGGTAGCTTGCTGTAATGGAGTGATCACAGCGTAGATGCTGTAAGGCAGCAGCAGGCAGTGATTTACAGGTCCTGTAGGTCTGTTAGGAGCAAGAGACATCTTCCAAAGGAGACAGAAGAGCTTGCATGACTGCAGTCATGGCCTTGAGCACATCATCCTTGGCAAAGCAGGAACATGCCTGTGGCAAACTAAGGGAACTGCAGACACAAAGAAGGTGCTGCAGCCTGGGCCTCCTGTGCTCCAGGGAATGGTGCTGATGGGGGTTAATTCTGCCTGCTTGTCTTGCAGCACTGCAGCTCCATGAAAGAACAGCTGAACAGGTAAATATCTGCCTTTGTCAGTTTTCCACATAGCTCAGATATGTGCAGATATAAAAGACCAGTGCTAACATAAAACATAAAAACATTAAAAAAGTAAAAAAGTGAGTCCTTTTAGGCATGTATTAAGAATATTCCTTTTTCCTCTTACAAACTAAAAATGAGAAAAATTTCTTTAATGATCCTTTGGCAGGATGCAAATTTACAGAAAGGGGAATTTGGAGCCCTAAGGCAGCCAAGAGATGCTCTTTCCCAAGCTCAGCCTGCTGCCAGTGCAAAGAACAAGGTGAGCCAGATTTCATTTACTACCTGGAATATTACAGCAGGGAAACCACAGGGAGAAGTGTTCACTGTCTGGTAACACAGCTGCTTCACAGGCCCTCTTGTGCTTCCCAGGTGCTGCCGGGGCCACCCTGGTGATTCTTGTGAGCCCCGCTCCTTTGGCAGACACCTGCACCAGTTCAATCTGGTTTTGAGCTCCAGTCTTTGTAGTGAGGGAGTGACAGGGCCAAACTACACTATTTACTCCTAATATCTAAGCTTACTTATCTGTCACATAAGTGAAAGTGTTGATGTGGATTAAATGCTTGAGTTTAAACAATTCATTTGAGAAACCCTAAATAAATGAGTCAAAGAAAAGGAGAGAGTGTTTTAAAATTTACGAAACACTATCCATTACACAACTATCAAAGTTCCCATCAATTTCAAAACCATAAAATCTCTCCCACTTTAATGCAAATTTCTATTAGAGCAATATTTTGTGACTATATTTTGTAGAGAAAACTGAAATCCTGCAGTAAGATTTTCTGATCTTCCTTTTTTCTCATTTTTTGTACTTCTGGCAAATTAAAGAAGTCATTATGGTATAATAGAAAAGGACTTGGTAACAATTACAATGAATGAGGTTAATGTATTGTATCTGAAACACTGCTTTTATGTTCAGAAATGTTGTTTGGTTCAGATGCCATTTTATGCCTCTATTTTATATACTATACTTTCAGACAAAAAAATAGAAAACTCTATCTGTAATATACAAACAAAATCACAGTAATTATGTGCAAAATGTGAATGTTTGAGGATAGGACTTGTTCTTGTTGGCTTTTAATTTATTGCTGACTAACTGCCCCTGCTCTATGTGCCTGTTTTGATTAATGCAGTACTGTCTTGTCCGCATGTGCCTGAAATTCTAAATATTGTAAATTGTGCATAAAAGAATATGCTTAAGATTTAAACAATTGAATCTGAGCTGCACTTATTTGTGAATATTTTGTTTAACAAGCTAGTTAGGAGAAAAAAAATCCATATAAAAGAGTTTCAAGATTTTCCGGAATAAAATTTAAAAAGGGTGGAGTTTTGAGAATGAATCTCTCCAATAATATTCATGAAAATAACTTCAGGTGTTTGGCATCCCTGGGTCACCCAGATGAAATCACAGGGATAGAGCTCTGCTGTTAAACCAAACCGTACCCTAACCCAGATCCTCAGAAGTATTTAGAAATAGCTGTCTTGTATTCTGTTCAGGCACAGGTCCTTCCAAAGGCTGACAGCACCAAGCTGGTGAATTACAGAGCAGATGTGTGAGAGTTGAAGCCAATGCTGAGCAAAACGACTTTGTTCTGGCAGCTTGCCTGACTTAAACCTTGCTGTGCATGACCCAGCTCCAATACCAAAGTTTTTTCAGGCACACAGAACTACTTTTTACCAAAGGTGACTGTAAGAAAACTCTAGGTAGAATGGAAAACTGTTCTTTTCAACAATTATTTCTCAAACTTCAGGCCAGTACCTTTTTGGCAGTCCTGAAAGTGCCTAAAGTGGGTTGGTCAAATATCATGTGGCAGCAGTTGTCTCTCAGGGTAGTAGCAGCTGCTGCATTAACAAGTGATTACAGCCTAAGACTGTAGTTGCAGGATTGATAACCACCTTAAATTGCTGACAGCAGTTTGTTTTCTCCAAGGCAAAGGAGTGAATATGAACACTTGTAGCCAACTATAAGCTCTTCTCTCTTGACTGATATGGAGGTTCTAAGTTGCTGGAAAGTCTAATTGGAGGTAAATGAGATGAACCAAATGGAGGTGACGTTTTCAGATTTGCACAAACCAGCCCTAGATATTTCAAGATTCTCTTGCTGAGTTCAAACAATCTATTCTCTGCATTTGTTCTGACAGTGATATGTGAAATTAATCCAGCACTTCTCACAGCTCCTTTTATTCTTGCAAAAGATAGACACATGGACACATGTCCTGTATCATATCTTCTAGAACATTTTAAATTATTAACCATCAACTGAGTGTTTACAGTTTTATTGGAGTATCTGTTTCACCTTCTTGCTCTGTTTCATTTTAAAGCTTGATGTGTTCTACAATACCTTTTGGAGCTTTGATATACAAGCAGTTTTGGCGATCTCTAATTTTGCAGTCTTCTATAACTTGCTTTTCTCAACAAAATTCCTCAAAGGCACTAGATTGCATTGTCACAGATCCATGATAGGAAACAGGAGGAGGAATGGAGGGAACAAATTTGCAGTAATCATAACCTCTGATCACATACACAATTATTTAGTGTACCTTTCGATTAGCTAATTCCAGTAATCTGCCAAAACTTAACTTGCATTCAGAGTGTGAAATACTTTGCATTCAAAATGTATAAAGGATCTGTTGGACTTGAATTCACTTGAGAAAATTGCAGTTAGCTGCAATGTAAGCAAAGGGGAGGAAAAAAAATGCATTTAAGCAGGGTGAGGAAAATGGACTATGCACTTTCTGTCTGATCAGACTCCTCATACCTGAGACTGACCCTTGTAAAACTATTTTAAAATTGCTGTACTTCAGTAGGATGAAGATAAATTAAAAAGTGCCTATCACTATTTTCACTGGTAAATCAGAAAGTAGATAAACTCAACACTTGACAAGAAATCTAATGATAAGAAGCAGACAGAAACTGACCAAATGAAAAAAAAAGTGAAAACTTCATTAAACTGTATCAATCTTGACTGCATTATCAACTCAAATCTTTAGACCCTTGTCAAAGTTTGGGTTTTCAATATTGGCACTTGCTAGGAAAACCTACTATGAATCTAGCCAATAAAATCATACTACAAGTATACTTGTGTTCCTGAAATTGCAAGGCTGCATGTAGGCCTCAGTTCTCATTTGTCAGAAAAAAAAAAAGACTAAACTTCTACAAGAATGTGAATTATTTAAACTATAAGTAAAGTGAAAGTTAAGGAACTAGGTGTTTTGTGTCTAGCAGCTGTATTCAGAGTTGAGTCTAGTCACTCTAAGGAGAGGTACCTGTAGCATCACCAGTGTGGTCAGACTCCCATCTACCTCCTGAAGGAGATTCCCCACTCTGCCATCAGCAGAACATCAGTGGCAATTCCTCTGATTCCTCATCAATTTTGATAGGATTCAGCATCACAGGAAGTAGACAAACACTTGTCAGTGCCAATCGTGTTAGAAGAGGCAGAAGATTGGAGCAACACATCTCAACTGAGTTGGTCTTATTTAGAGTAAATTAATATCTCTTTGACATAATCAAAGTAACTCTGTGGTGAGAATGGTTTGTTTATATCTTCTTGCTGGTGCCTTGGCGAAATACATCCTATAGATTAAGGAGGATTAAAGAACCCCTTGCCACATTTCATTTCATTTAATTTCATTTCATTATTTCATTTCATTTCATTTCATTTCATTTCATTTCATTTCATTTCATTTCATTTCAACCTCTTCTCTGTTTCTTGGACTGTACTGTTTCAAACCTGTACTTCTAGTGGTTCAGTAGCAGTGAATATGACCTCAGATTCCCAAGCCTTGTGGCATGTAAACAGTATATCCTGACAGAGAATAACCACTTCCATCTACCTTATAGTTTGATGGGATGAAGAACCTCTTCTTTCCTCTGCTCCAGGAAACGCTGCCAACTATGCCTTCATTGCTGGTGAGATGAGTTCGTATTTGGAGCAAATTCTGCTGGGATGCTGGACACTTTTATCTTGTGAAGTGCTTGGCTTGGCTAGCTGTCCTTTTTCATAAGGCAAATTGAAGTGCAGTGTCAGTATATCATGCTTAGAGGATCAGCAATGGTGTCAGTTAGGATTGAGACTGGGAAGAATGGTCTCCCAAAGAAGTTGCATGTCTGGCTATTTTCTCTCCTGTTTTTGTTTGGTTTTTTTTTTTTTTTTCCCTCCTAAATAGTCACAGAAACAGAGATAGGCAGTGCCTGTTCTTCTCCTTTTTTTATTGCTGGTATATTGCATATTTAAGGCAGAAGGGCCTCCCTGGTAGTGTAAATGGCACTGTGCTCTAGCCCTTGCTGTGCTAAAAGACTTGGCACTGCGTGTGTGGAGGCAGCTTTGCAGAAGCCTCAGAGAAAGATTTCCTGCCAGCAGCATCTGTGGAGATGGAAACAGCCACTGCATTAGATCCATCAAGTTCTAAAGAAATGCAATAACTGGACCCTAATTAGCCATCTACACCCAAATGTTAAACATGGTAGGTTTTCAAATGGATGCCTAGCAAAGGCATTTTTCTGCCAGCTTATTGGACTCTGGATCTTACACTAGGCACCGGTGACGTCACGTTAAATTAACTAACCCTTGAATTAATGCCAGGGAACCTTGACAGTAGACAGAACATGATTGTCCATTCTATTAAGATAATTAGAAATGTCCTGGAATGGCTTAGGGCTTTCCCTGTCTTTTTCCCAAAAAACTGTCAAGCAGCTTGGGTTTTAACGCAAGCAAGGGAGAATTCTTCACCATTGTGTTGTAAACATCTTATTTTGCAGTATAAAACACTCTGACTGTTGGCCATTTTGTAACAATTGTCTTCAGGGCCAAAGAATGGTACTAAACATATTTAAACTATGATTTCAGATGAAATGAAATATGTGAGAGTCTAGAAAAAATGGCAGAATCCCTGATCAGTCCTAATGGTGTTTGCACTTCTGAGGTCAACTGGTTAAATTTTGAGAAAAGGAAACAATAAGCATAATGAACTGAGGATCTGACCTGACGTCGTTGTGTGCTAAGTTCTACACAGCCAGCCTTCCTCCTCTGCAGGCTGGAGGGATCTGTGAGTGAATTAAGGCTTTCATGTTTCTTCAGGTGTTGCTGTCACAACACCACCATGTAGATGTAAGTCTGCCGCACCTTCAGGATGTACAGTTTGCTCTAACACAACTGTACAAGTACACTTTGGCTTCTTAATTTTGGAACAGTTCTACTCTGTGATGTCCCGGGCCAGCTCTGTTGCTAGGTTAATGGGAAATTTTCCAGCTGCAAAATTATGATTATGTTCTTCTTATTCACAAGTTCCCTGATTCCTTTTGCACCTCATGCTGCTCCATTCTGAGCATCTGGCCTGGTGACAGAACAACTAGTCAAGAAATGAAGATGCCAGCATGTCTCAGTGCTGAGGAATAGTGTCTACTCACTGTGAGGCATGATGGGCTACTACGACCTTCTAGGATGCCTTTGCAGAAGTAACAGATTGTGTTCAAACTAGTGAGCCTGAGTCCATTCTACCTGAAAGGACAGAGAGAAAGTAGGTACAGAAGTGAATGAGAGAAGAGTCTGTGGGTGTATATCAAAATGCACAGTACTCTTTACAGCAATTTGAAAACATGGATGCTATTCAATAAAATGTTTGTTTTAACCAAAATGGACGAGAATATTAAAATATGCAATTTGGCCCTGCATCTAGGCAATGGGTGTGAAATTGAATAACCAGACAACTTTTCTCATCTCTATAGATCAATAAATTTCCAGGGACATATTAAAAAGGAATATAAATATTCCTAAGTTTCAATTTTTCTTTATTCATTTACATTCCAAACAATTACATATTCTACTTTGTAGGAATACAATTTATAAGCCCTGTATTTGGTGACACTGGGAGCTTAAGTCTTCTTCTTCGGAATACTTGAGAAACAAAGTAACAGAAAATCTAAGTATTCATACTCTTTCTGAGAATGATGTAAAAGATGTAGCTTGCTGGAAGATGATTTTGCAGCTTGTTGCATATGGATCCAAAGAAAAATGGGATTCAGTTAAGTGTTAAGATAAAACTAAAATGACAAATGCTAAAATGTCTTTGTTTTTGTGTGAGTGTAGTGCTGCATTGGACATGAATTGGACTGAATAAAGAAAAATTTGTATATTTTAGCCTTTGAAAACTGTCACTTAACAGTAAATGCACAAAGATGTACGAACAACTTAGAAATTCTTTCTGAGTGTTTTTGCCATGCAGTTTGTATGTAAAAGTATGCGTTTTCCCTGCTTTTACATCCATTTCTGGCAATGTGCATCAGAGGTGTATTCCATGCACTCTAGATATCAGCAGTGTTATCTCATCCAATATCTTGACTGGTTAGGAACAAGAAATCCTTTTCTCTTCATCAAATATGTTGTTTCATTTTTTTTTTTCCAAGTTTATATTCACATTTGTAGTAATATTAAAAATAAAAACAATGAAAGAAAGTGCCTCAGCTCCCAGTAAACAATCAGTTCATTACTGGGAGTGGTCATTACTACAGAGCTTATGATTTGCAGTGGTGTCACACACTGCAGTGGTGAATAAAACTTTTTCTTGTCCCTTCTGTGCTCAGGTTCTCCCCAGCAGCCCTATAGCCTCACGTATCTTTTGCAGGTTACATACAATATGAATTTCCACTCCCCTGCCACCTCTCACTCTACCATTTATATAATTCTCACTCTGCCATCAATACCTCAACTCCTCCTGTTTTTGATAGATGACCCTGCATTCCTGATGAGCTGTTTGGCTTGGAGGAATATTTGAAGAGTAAAACAAATGAATGACAAAAGGTAAGCAATGGCACTGGTTCTTGGAAGCAGCTAACAAATTAAACAGGTTTTGATAAGTAAATTTTGCAAGGCAGTTTTTTTACTTCACATAGCAGAACTATGAAATTTCTTTAATGCAAGCCTCTTTTATAGACTCCTTTCAAATTTTGACAAATAGGTATGCAAAAAAATATTGGTGAGATAAATAGTGGATAATTAGAGTTACTAACATATCCATGAAAGAAATGCTTCTGAAAGTTCTCTAAAAATGTTAATATATCCACTACAAAATACTACTCAGGGAATTTTGTTCTTCTCATGGAGAGCTATATGGTCAAAATGATACACACTTCCCTTAAAAAAAAAGTGATTTATACTTTCTGTAAAAAAAGGGAATGAAATGTTTGTTGTGGATGGATAATAAAATTAATTTTGAGATTAGCTCAGTTGGTTAGAGCATGGTACTAATAATGGCAAGGTTGTGGTCTGGATCCCTGTATGTGCCATTCACTTAAGAGCTGGACTTGATGATCCTTCTAGCTGCTTTTAAACTCAGACAATTCTGTGCTTCTGTGATTTATGAAAAGGAGCAAAATCTACTTTTCCAGAGGCTTGTGGGGAGAGAATATTCAAACTTATGTGCCAAAATGGTACCTTTCTTCATATGCATTCGGAAAGGCGCTTTCACTCAAATTGTACACGTCTCCCTAAACATTGTCAGGGTACCTATATAATCATACAAAGAACACAGCTCTGAAGCAGCATTGTAGAATTTATAATGCCACAGTACTTTTACAGAAGGTTAGGGGGCAAGGAAAAGTAAAAAAATTGTCATAAAAGTGTATGGAAGAAAATACCCAAACCAAGTCCCCAAAAGATTGGCACCAGGCTCACAGATGTTCCAAGAAGTGAAAGAGTAGCTGAGTTTATTGGATAAACTCTTTTTAGTGAATAATTAACAGGTCAGCTTCAAAGTGTAACTCAATATAGACTGTTTGGTTTTCTTTTTGTGACAGTGACCTTTCACTTTTAATGTACGATAAAGGGTTCTATCAGGTTATTCTGACACAATACAGTGGGAAATCGATCAATTTATTATCATATTGGTATAATTTTTAATTTCAAGTTACTTTCTGATAAGTATCCATGTTTAACGGGATCACAATTCAGTACTGTGTCTATTTAATAGTTATGCACACACAAATGTTATATTAACACTGTTGTTAAGGTCACAGTATTAGTCATTCAAGGGGTTGGAAATGTACCTTTTGTACATGCGTTTTTACAAAATTAGGGATTATGTAGTATTTATTTCATAGGCCCCTTCCCCTTTTTTGAATAAAGCATGGATATGACCTGAGTTTATTATATTCAAGAGACTATAGCATATATTTAATAGGACTGCTTCCATATTCATGACAGAATTTGAGTAGTGGCATAACCAAGGCTTCCAGGGGGTCAGTGGTTAAGGCAATTGAATGCTTTCTTGAAAGTTAAATTATAACCTTGCCCCTGAGTTTGTAATTGATGCTATGTGAGTTACTTAATCACAGGTGGCCACTAACCAAGTTCTTCGATATCTGATTGAGAATCTGATTTATTAACACACTGAGTACTTAAATCTGGATCTGAAGTAAATGACAGCTATAAGTGTCATTTACAAGTGACAAATCAAGTATGGCATGAAGTAGTTATAAAAAAATAAAGTCCTAAACTGCTCTCATATGAGACATATAGGATTTTTGGGTAATTTTATCTTGGCTCTTTCAGATCTCAGAATTCTCTCTTGTTAGCTGAAGAAAATAGCATGCCTTGGTTCTGTATCAAAAATAACCTTGGTTTTGTACTTCAAAATAATTATGCCAGTATTTTAGAAACAGTCTGCCAGAATCACCATGCAAGAAAAAATACTGGGGAAACCTGTAGTTCTATATTCAGAGGATTCTCTATTCTTACTAGGAGAAAATACAATAGATAGGACATAATGACAGATGGAGTGAGAGGAATAGTGGAAAATTTCTCATTAAATAAGCCCTTTCTATTCCAGTGAATTAAACAGGCTCCAAAACAAAAGTGGTAAATGACCATGTATACTAAATGATAAAGGCAAATTATACACATGCAGCAGTGAAGCAATTGAAAGTTTTACAGACCTGGTGTTCCCCAGCTCCTGAGTATTTTGGCATAGCTCTGCAATGGATGGATGTTTGTGAAGTTTGCAAAAGAGATACTTATGTCTTTTTCCTTGTGAAATACAAAGCTATACCATGGGCATGTTAGAACCTGAAAATCTTTTCTGATCATGTCCTTGACAAACCAATGAGTATATTAAAACAGGATTTTAAAGCTGAAAGACAAAACCAGATACAATATATGATAATTTTACTATCTCTGTGTAGGACAAAGTGCTATCACTACAAATACCCACCGTCACAACCCAAGAAGACCATTTCCTATGGCTGTTTGGGAAGAAGCTTCCTTTCTTTCAGGAATGGGTCTGACAATTTAACAGAGTGCTCAGTGTGAGGGTATTTATGGTGACAAAAACAAATGAGGTGTTGCAGAAATTGATTGCCCTCAAATAGAACAAGACTAAAAATGAAAATTGATTACAAAGGCAGGAAACAAGGCCACTGATACACTGAACTAATAGCTAATAGTATTAACAAGCTAATACATTTAGGTATCCATAAACAAGAAGCTGCAAGAGTGAGTACTACTACTCTTACAGTGCTTTTTTACATAGCAGAATAAATGTATGGGGTAACTGGTGCTAGAGCTTGGTATGAACTCATCTGCAAAGAATTTCCTGTGTCTATCTTGCAGATTTCTCAGTGATGAGCCTTCAATCTTTGCTCAGGAGAGACCACCACATTGTCAAGCTTCTGACAGCACATCAGTAAAAAGGCCTATGAAAATACACTCTGCTTGCCTGTTACAAATGATGCGTAGGTATTATTTTAGAGGTTTCCCTGCAGTGGTTTATACTCTTATACTAAGAGCTATTATGAGCTATGTCCTTGCCATTTGAGATAGATGGGACAGATGGGACAGTGACATGGTATCACACACACTTCACTCCTGTGTTCTTACCCTCATCTCCTGCTAGGGAAAAAAAAAGACAAAAAGTTTTGTCGTGTAGCAGGAGCAAACCAAATAGCCAAAGCTGTTTGTTACTTTTTCTGTTGACAATTCTGAAAGGTGAGGACACACACTGTTGAACTAGTTTTGCCATTCAATATGGTTAGAACAATGAAAAGGAGCCGTGCATTTACCTTGGGAAAGTAAAAGTAGTTTTGTCATCTGTCTTGGACTTCTAATTTTAATAAGAATACGTGATCGCAGATTTTACTCATTAGCATGAGAGTAGAGGTAATTCCTTTGGCTTCACTAAAGAAATTAGTGTGTATGCATAGCCACGTTCGCGTCTCTGAACAAAAATCTTTACCCAAACAGGCACCTGTCAGCTTGGCCCCGCTGTTCCCAGTCCCCGCAGGGAAGAGCACAGTTAACGCAGCAGCTCCCAGTCCCGCCCGAGGCGCTCCGGCGCTGTGCTTGGATGCTATCCAGGCAGGAGCAGGGACCGAGGGGGCCGGTGCGGGGATGCGGGGATGCGGGAACAGTCGCGGCCTGTCCCGGGCCGGCCCGGGCGGCGGCGGCCGAGGGCTCCGTCCCCTCCCGTGCCTCGCTCCGTCCCGCCCGTGCCGCCCCCCCGGGCGGTCCCATAAAGGGCGCGGGGCCCGGCGGCTCTCGCTGCGGGGCGGCGCCGTCGTTGCCGCCGGACGGCCGTGAGCCCTGGGACGCGCAGGTGAGCCCAGGCTCCGCGGCTCCGCTCTCCGCGGAGACCTTCCCCCGGCACAGCGCATCCTTTCCCCCGCAGGCTCCTCCCGGAGAAAGCCGGAGTCCCCGTGGAGTCGCTGCCATGGCCTCTGTCCCCTCCGCCGGCTGCCTTCTGGCCAGGAACCGGTACTATAGGAGTGAGTGCTCGGCGGGACCGGGAGCTGCCTGCTGTCCCCAGACACGCACCCCGCCCTCTCCCCCCTCTTCCCTTCTCTCTGCCTGGGGAGCGCCTCCGGAGGAGGGAGGCTGAGACCCCCGAGCCTCTCCCGAGAAAGTGGCCGGGTTGTTGGCACTCGGGAAAAGTGTCAGAAAATGTTTCAGGTGATGTCTGGATGAGCTGGCAGCAAAGAGTTGTCTTTGCCTTTTAATTTCTTTGGGGAGTTTTAATATCACTGAACCTTAGTTTTAATGACCATCTGCTTCTGGTCATTGATCTACCTTTTAAAAAATTATTCTATTAGAATTTTTTTTTAGTGTATTATACGTATATATGTGTGTATATTTAATTATAAAACATGACCTAGAAAAAGTGCTAGCCTAGCAAGTCTAGGTTTCTGTGGGAATCCCTCTGTCTGCCCTGGAGGGCCTGGGACCCTGGCAGGGGGTCAGGAACCCCCCTGTACAGAGCCCCGAGAGGCACTGTCTGTGATCTCTGTCCATGGAAAAGAGTTTTCAATCTTACAGGATGAATTACAAGCTATGAGTGTTTGATATGAGTAATAATTAAGTGTGGCACGGGTGCAAAAGTAAAATTTTAGGATTCTAGATTAGGGGTTCAGAGGGGACAAGATGGAGGAAATTGGGTGTGTTTTGTCCTTTTTCTCGTTCTTCATGCCCTCCATGTTTCACTGTAGTGTTGGCATTTTTCTATTGGTTTAGGCTGGGGACACACTGTTCAATGTATATGATAGATATTGGCACACTATTGTAAATATAGCACACGTAATTTCTGGTATATAATGTTTGTAACATCCCACTGGGGGCAGAGCCCCGCACGCTGCCCTGCAGGACAGACCTGCGGCAGGGCAGCAGAACATGTTAGAGATAAGCAAGAATAAACAACCTTGAAAACAGCACAGATGAATTCTGGCTTCTTCTTTGGCAACAGGGCACAAAGACAGAGACTTTCTACAATCTCGGAATCATCAATACCCACAGATTCTGACAGGTTTCCACCTGTACTTCCTGTTTGCTTCCTATTTACTTTGCAAATTTAGACAAAATATAAATCAATTCACATTTTTTGTTTCTAAATATGTGAAATAATCACTTCTTTGAGAGTACACATGATGTATTAGGATTCCTAGGTCCACGATGGACACTAATGTGAGTGTAGTATTTAGTTGTGTCACAAGGGAAAGCATGACAATTGGGTTGTTGTGGACTTAAATGTTCAAGGATGTATTTGCTTGACAGCAGTGTGGACATGATCTTAAGCTTTGTCAATGATTTCTGAGAAAGTTATGCAGACAGATCAAAGTAGGCTTTTAAGGGAAGTGTGAGTAGAGTGAGAGAGAAACTGATATAAAAGTTCTTATGAAAACTGTAGTAGAACAGTTAGTATGTAGCTCAGTGAAATTGTTTCCTCTGAGGTAGCAGCATATCTGAAAAACTCCTGACATATAAAGAGTGCACCCTCTCAAAGCATTTTTCTTCATTATGTGTGTCTCTGTTTTCTGCGTACAGCAAAACTGAACTTGGAACCCAGCGTTTCTTCCAGCTTCTCCTGCTGTTTGGATGCTGTGAACATCACAGACCAGGACAAAGCATTGCATGGTATTGTTCCCTTCTTTGAAACACTTTTCAGTTTTTCATGCAGTGTCTAATGTTGTGGGCTTTTCTCCTTTGTCAGGGTTACCAGAGTTAATTGAAAAATACTGGTGGATAAAAAGCTTCTTCCATAGTGAACCCTCTCCACCAACTGTTGGCAGAAAAACACTCTCAGCAAGCAGGTGAGTCTTGGTTTTAAAACGATGGGGATAATTTACTTGCTCTGCTTTCCTTTTGGTAACAGTGTTAGTAAACAAGTCATAATCAGCTAAAACCATCTGGTGAGGTGCAATGCTGTTTTGATGATTTAAGTAGAATATACATCAAGTTTAATGGTATATAACCTTTCCACATTTTCATTTTAACAAATGAACTCATATGCTCCTTCATATTATGCAGGTGGCAGTGCCTATTAGTTTCACACGTATGGTGATGTTTATTTAATCATCTACGTACAGAACTTGCACAACCATTTATACAGTTTGGCCATTTTACTTTGTATTAAAAAGCTGATATGAATGCATTCAAAAATACTTAGGCAGATAAATAAATATCTTTGATACTTATATCAGATATAAATACAGTGAAAATTCTATTTATCTTCCTTTTATATATATTTCTGCAGTACCAACAGTTGAAAAGGACAGCATAATGGCTTTTCTGACTGAGATGCTATGTACAGACTTGTTTTTCCAAGAGGCTTGGGATCTTCCTAATGTTTGGGTTCAGCTGCAAGAAGAAAACAAAACCTTTGGGAGAGTTGAAAATTGTATTTTCAAAATATTTTTCAGTTGCTAAAATTATATTGCTTAATGGACATATCCATGGCCTACTGTGTTCTTTCCAGATTTGCCATAATTTTTGTGATGTCTGTCTAATGAAAATTTACAGGAATAAACATCCTGATGACTTGAATAATTTGAGAAAGGTGACAGAAAAAATAAGACATCATAGATTCAGGAGGAAGATGTGTATTGAATGACTTTGCAATAGGTGGTTTAGTTAAGTTGCCTTTAAGATACCAGCTCTGTAGGCAGTCACACTGATGTAAACAAGATTCAGATCTATAATCTAGAATAGGACTGCTGTGTGGTACATGTCTTTTATTCAGTATTTGTATACTAGTTACAGGGTGGAAGTACACAAGAATGCTTGTCAATAGCTTTGCTTTTAGAAAGCCCAGTTATATGAACAAGCAATAATCAGTTTGGTTTCTTTGATCAAACAGATTGCATAGATCCTAGCTTCAAATACCCAGTTTCCACTTTCATTCCTACCTATGTATGCTGGTATTTGAGGACAGAATAGAGGAGATGTGTAAAAAACCAGTAATCCTAATGGAAACTGACCTCTCCCAAGGAGAAGAACTACCTTAATCAGAGTTGATACTTCTAGTATCTAGATTTCTTCTGCCTGCTTTTTTGTGGCTTAAAGATCTACTTGTGACCAATTCTATCAATATTCTTCTGTCTATCAGATTAGTTATGAGGGCTAGATCTGGCAAAGGATTCCCCTCAAAGTAATCACTTTATTGTTGTTATCCAAGTGTACCTTTGTCATGCTCTGGAAAGGCACTATAACATTGCAATGCTGAAGGCTAAATGAAGCTAATTAGTATAATGCTTATTTAGTCTACTGGGTATGACTGAAATGCATCAAGGATTATGGAAAATAACAAGTATTTGGCTGGATGATAACATTTGTGACAAGTATCTATGCAACTTTTTGATGTACTGTCATTAAACCTGCTGGATATTTGTCCATCACTGGATAAACTAGCAGTGGCAAACATTAATGTAGGCAGCATCTTTTTATTATAGGCTCATGATTTTCATGGTTATGCATAACTCCAAAGTGTATGAAGTGGTTGCTTCAGGGAGTTTACAGTCTTGGTGGAGGCAATAAATGCCTGGCAGATGACAAAAGAGCACAATTCTTAAAACATGATTTCAAGGCTCTTTAAATTGACTTGTGTCTTACTTTACTGCTATTGTATAGTTTCATTGTTGTCTGTTCTCTAAGTGTACAGAATGACTTTTTTTATACAAAGATTTTTTTATTAATAAAGATTTAACCAGAATTTTGTCTGACTTATTTTTGGCCTCCAAAAACAAACTGGTGTTCCATGTTGCCTGTGGTGGAGTTGCTGTGTGGGTTTGGTTTTTTTTTTTTTTTTTTTTGAATGTGTATTTATTTTTCTTTTTTAAAAGAAAGTATTTGAAAAATTTAACACCCCCTCAAAAGTCTATGTTGTATGTGCTTCACATTCTTCCTTTAGTCACTTAAAGCTCTGATGTGACTTGGAAAAGTAGTGCAAGCTAGGAAAAAGCCCCTACACCTTTTTCTAAAGAAACATGTTGTAAAGGAAGAGAGAAAGACAACATCATAGTTGCAAGAAGGTGACTGTGACTCTCTCTGAAGATGCTTGAAATCACAGAGGAAAGAGATACCGTAGCCTTGTTATTATTATACATGTGAAATACCAGATTCAGGAAACACTGTGGAAAAGAAGTGACAAGTTTCCATATTACTCATTGAGCTTAAACTGCTTCTGTCCATACAGAGCCAAAATGTGGGTTGCAGAACAGGCTTAAAGAGCTGATAAGCTGTTAAACCCACAAAACACCTCTTGAACCAAAACACAGTTATTTTTCAGGGAGTGGTGAGGGAAGGAAGGCTACATGTTGTTTGCTTTCATCTGCTTAGGCCCTACGAACAACTTGTTTTTGTAATGGCATCAATGTGATAGAAATCTCTGCTCTAGAGAAGCGTTCTCATGCCATCCACATCTTCTTCTACTGTGATCAGCTCAGCATTTGGGCAGGACCCCTGCCAACTTAGAGTGATTTGTGCCAGTTCTTCAAAGTATGCAATGGACTGGCTCCATTAATTAATATCTAATGTTGTTATAACAAGCTCCTGAGAAGATATGGGTAAAAGGGACATGAAAGTGCTTACAAACAAAGGGCTGCAGTTTTTTATGTCTTAGTAATA